CATCAAGCTAGCCCTTACTCGAGCACCTACTTTGAGCCAATTTCGACCAGACTTGAAATGCTACCTTGGTACCGACGCGAGCAATGTTGGAATTTCCGCAATCTTATTCCAAAAGCATCCGCGCACAGACAAAGATGGTAACACACAATACGTCATCAAGTACATTGGCTTTATGGCGCGATCTCTTTCTCCATCCGAGACCCGCTGGAGTGTAACTCGACGCGAGTTGCTCGCTGTGGTATTTGGCTTACAGAAGTTTCATAAGTATCTCTGGGGCACAGATATTCCATTCGAGATCCAAACTGATCATCGCGCACTTGTCTATCTCAACTCCCAAAAGTATGCCAACAGCATGATGATGAATTGGTGGGACACACTGCTTGATTACTCTTTTACCGTTGTACACATCCCAGGAGTTACAAACGTTATTCCCGATGCCTTGTCTCACTTATTCCCGCCTAACGAAGAGCTGGTGGGGGGTACTGACGTGAACACATCGAACTCGAGGACAAAAGACGCTCTTGTTACACGTGCTGCAAAGACAACGGTACCTGAAGATGCTATGTCACCACCTGATACTGAATCACGTAACCAAGTTATTAGTGATCTACACAACCACATCCACGAGCTATTTGATCCAGAATACAAAAGCTTGCCTGGTAATGAGCGAAAGGATTTGCTGTTGAAGAAACACTTATTTGGTCACTTTGGCGCAGATGCTATCGTGCGAGCTGTTCATGCTGACGGTCTCCACTGGAAGAACCTGAAACAAGATGCTATTGAAACAGTCAAGCAATGTAAGCAATGCATGCAGCACAATGTAGTCCAAAAAGGTTATCATCCACTACAATCCATCGAGAGCAATTTACCTGGTGATCATTGGGCAATTGACTTTGCGGGACCCTATGACCTCTCACATGATGGAAATTTATACCTCATGGTGATGATCGACATTTTCAGCAAGTTTTGTTTATTACGCGCTGTACCAGACAAAACTTCCCCGACTGTTGCTACACAACTTATCAAAATAATAGCTGACTTCGGACCAATGCAAATATTACAAAGTGACAATGGCCGCGAGTTCGTTAATGAATTGATGAACTTGGTATGCAAACAAGCTGGTATTGATAGACGTTTGATATCACCATATCATGCACGTGCTAACGGTGCGGCAGAGCGGATGGTACAAACAGCTAAACGAGCCATACACAAGATGATTGACGGCCAAGTCAAAGACTGGGATCGACATGTACCTTTTGTTCAGTTGGCCTATAATGCACGAATCGCGCCCATACACAATTCAGCTCCATTCTCACTTATGTTTGGAAGAAGGATGAACGCGTTCAAGGACTATCGGAGTGATATACCCAGTCCTGAGGAGCCACTTGCCCCATATGATGACACAGACCTGAGGAAAAGAATTGATGCCATGGCAAAAATTGTTGTGCCAGCCATCAGCCAACGCATCCGCAACGTTCGACAAGCTGCTCAAGATAAATTCAACAAGACCCATCGACTCATCGAATTCCCCATCGGTTCCCTGGTTGCAATTGAAGACAAAATACGCACACGTAAAACGGATCCAAAATATGAAGGACCTTTTGTGGTACATTACAAAACAGACACAGGAGCATACATCCTCAAGGATAAGACCGGTGACATTATCAGGCCGAGCTTCCCTCCAAGTGCGTTAAAGAGCGTATCTGAGGATCCACTCCTGAGAGATGATAAGCATTATGTGATCGATTGTATTATAAACCACCGTGGCAAACCAGGAGAATACGAGTACAAGGTTCGATGGAAGGGCTATGATTCATCTGAGGATACTTGGGAACCACCAGAGAGCTTCGACTCCCCGTTCCTCATCCAGCAGTACTGGCGGAGACGTAATGATCCCACCAGAAATTCTATTGCCGAACGAGTTGCAGGACGCAAACGAAGACGCCCGTAATCGACCTACTTTCAGATCACCACTTCTTCTTTCCAGTTGCAACAACCTGGAGGGGGGTTATGTCGTGGCTGACTTACAGCGGTTTCGATTAGAAACCAGCGTCAAGAAGTATTGGTCAGGTTGCTGAGCGGATCTATCATTTATCTGGTTTTTCTTTTCATCGTCACAGACCCTGGTCGTGTATAAATAGCTGTAGAAAACAAGTGAAGGATAGAGGATTCATTCTTTTTGAATTAAACAGCAATCTCGAAGACTTCTAGTCCCTTTCTATTGTTGAACACCACACATACACCGTAGGAAAAAAAACCTTAAAAAACCTAAATAAACCTGAATAAACCTGAATTTTCATAGTATTTGAACTTCCGACACACCTGGGCACTTAATGTATTTTTATTTTTACTTTGATTGTGACAAACTTTAGTCTGTTTCTTCTTCTACGTCCCCATTAACTCGTTCAGCAATGACAGTGTCTAATGACAACAAACCCTTTACGTGTCTTAACTGTAACGTACGCTTCAACGAGTTCTCGAACAGCACGAGCAAAAAAGAACATTTTGCAAACTGCCAAAGTGACAATGCCACTTCACAGGTAATTGATTGTACTTAGACAGCTAAATTTCAGTACCATTGCTGATTGTTTTAGCAGGTGGATCCAGGTATGGAACTTGATGATGAAAGTAGCGCCGTTCAGGGCTGCGACGATTTCGCAGAGACAATCGACGACTTCGACGTGGACGTGGAATCTATCATGGATTCTATTGGAGATAACGAAAGTGGCGAAGCGATGGATTATGATTCCATCGGCGGTTATGATTCGCCACATGCAACGGAACTTCTGACAGAAGCAGATGATATGGGGTACAGCACATCAGACTTGGCGCTGGTTTCATCGGCTAGCGCGTCGGACAATCAAGAACGAGAATTGCTGCCGCGTGACATATACTTCAGTACTGAAGACGACCAGTTGCCACCAAACGTCCAGGCGTCACTAGACATCTTTGCTGAAGCCAAAAAGGGCGGGCTAGCAAGAGACAGTTTTGACAGTATTATTAAGATTTTCAATAGTTACGTCGAAACTACCCAAGCGCAAAACGAGCAAGTACGTCCACTATTAAGTCATTACAGGTGTAAGTTCAACATGATACGCCGCTTTCCAGTGCAGCCTTCCACATATCGTGCTTGTCCCGGTGGGTGCAAAATGTTTCTTGACGACAATCACGAAGAAACATGTGGTGTATGCAAGAGGGATTTATATGAAGAAGATGCTGGATCTATCACCCGCAAAAAGTCTTTGGCATCCAGTGTAAAGCAATTGTCTATACGAGATCAGCTCGCGTTACTCGTGTATGACCGGAAAACTCGGGAGCTCTTGCGCCATCGAGCTAAGCGTGATGAGTACGTTCGGCAAACTGACACAGATGATGATAGTGATGATGATGAAACGGATGACGAAAGTGCGATGACAGACATATTCGACGGAAAAATCTACAAAAAAGCAGTCGATACCTTTTTCCGCGGCGAGCTCGATATTGCAGTCAGCTTGTACACGGACGGTTTTCAAAAGTTTGATGCTATGACAATCGTTCATTTCCAGGTGCTCAATTTTCCATTGTCTTGTCGCACCGAGCAAAAGTATATGCTGCAGTCATGCATCATTCCTGGACCTCGAGCTCCTGTGGACTTGTTCAGTTTTTTGCAACCGGCAATAGACGAATTTCAAGAATTGGAAAGCCGTGGAATGAGGGTTTGGACCCAGGATGGACCTATTGTCGTAAGAGCAAGTCTCTTCTACTGTGGAGGTAATGAACACTATGATCGAATCGGACAATGGATTGAGAGTAGTGATGGTTATTGTAGATAAATGAACTGACTTGCTTTTACCTGACTTTTTCATCAATCGGTTGCTGTTCGTACATGGGCGGTTCGTGGATACGATCAGGGGATATACCAGCAGTTGCTAAGATGTGTAATCATGCGTCACATAATCATCAATTCGGCTGTCGTGTTTGTTTTGTTGATAAGTTTGACGTGTCAACCAGAAACTACGCACCTCGTGACCGAACAGCAGCATATCGCGCGCCCGAGCATTATGGACAAGATGGTAGCTTCCAAAACCAACATTTTAGAGAGGCAATGAAAAAACTGGGTCAAAATGGACCTACCCCTTTCGCCGCGCTGCGTATTTTCCATGGGCCATCAATGTTTCCTTTGGACTATATGCATCTTTTTGGATACGGATGTGGCAAAGTAAGGGCAGCATAAAGACGAATCAAGAGAGAGAGGCACACACGTGGGAGAATCGAGGAAATGTGTGGTTTGCGTTTTTGCGATACTAAAAGCAGTGTTTAGCAAATCGTTCACCTGTTGCTTGGGTCAGACTATACCGTCGATAGTGCTAAGGCACCTATCCGCCTCAACACACAGCAACTCCGTTCCATCGACGCCGTGATGGGTTCATCGATGAAAAACCTACCGTCTACATTTTCCAGCAATTGCTCGGACATTACCAAACAGTCTAAATATTTTCGTGCAATCGATTATCTACACTTCATGCGCTTTGTTCTTCCCACTATCATCGTCGAAGTTTTAACCGATACGCATCGTCAAGCAGTTCTAGCTTTGGCAGACATTGTGCAGAGGGCATCATCACGAACAATAACCGAGTCTGATATACAGTCATATCAGGAATCGCTGAAGACGTGGCACAAGTGGTTATCGAAACAAGTTGACGACAAAGCGATTGCTCCCAATATTTTCACGGTTTCACAGCATTACCTCACTCATATCCCGTACATGCTACGGCGTATGGGACCCTTGGTGATCTATAGCGCATTTGCAATGGAAAGGGCAATAGGTGCAACTAAAAAGCGTATCAGGTCGAGGAAGCTTCCTGGTGTAAATGCTGGTATGTTATCTGTGCGATTGCTCTTATTCTCTTCCTATCTTATGCTCAAACCAAGAAACATGGATCCTAGGAAATATTATGTTAGAGCTGGCGATGGAACGACGACTCGAAAGAATTGGTGATAGGAGTGTCTGTTGTAATCAAATGGAAACAGAAAATGAACAAATGAATGTACTGAGTGAAGACGATGCTGACGTAGAAGCTCCTGAACTGTGGGCTCCCTTCACGACCATCTCCCTACAGGCACTGGGTAGTGTATACGAGGTCAATTTGATCAAGAAGGTTAGTCCCAAAGCACAAGACAGGTAAGTTAAATTGAGCTGTTGAAGTAATGTAAAAGCTGTTCCGTAGATCACGGATTATTACATGGTTTTTGAGGGGAGAAATATTAGTGTCTCGCCTAATGACGAAGTAAAGACGGCGAAACGCATGTGGAAAAAGAATGGGATTGTTTTCGGCTCATCGTCACCCTACGGTGGATCGACACGGAAGAATAATTTTGTACGCCTGCGGTTGACCATTAACACCAACAGGCAGCGTAACAATCGCGTTCAGCAGTCCAGGCTTATATTTTATGGTGAAGTTATGGTGTACTTTCAGCATTATGATGGAGACGCCGCCAAATTACTTGCCTTGGTGAAAGTATACGAGGCTAAAAAGTCTAATGACAGTGGCACGTGGCCGTATCGCACAGACGGAGCAGCCTGGAAATATACGGTGGCTAATGTAAAGCGTATTAAACAGTTGGTGTGGAGTGTTGAAAGTACATCGAAGCGTCACTACTTTTGTTGGGCAGGTCGCAAACGAGACAACGAACTTCTTGGGGAACTGCGGTATCTATGGTGATTTCCATTTTAGGCAGTATCAAAGCATAGTTCATCCTTTTTTCCTTATATGCTTCACCTTGCCTCCTTGTTTGCTTCACCTTGCCGTTTGAAAAAAAAATTTTCGTTCCTTTTCTTATTCCTTCTCCTCTTTCTTCAATAAAAAAATATCACACTGAAACAACTCAAACATGGATCCTCAAATTCAAGCAATTCTTAACGCTATCAAGGATAGTAACGATTCAATGCTTGCTCTTGCGCGATCGGTCGGCTCCTTGGCGAGAGAAGTTGATGACATTGGTAAGGCCCTTGATGATCTCTCAACATCAGTAAACCTCATAGGAGGGGATGTTGAAAGTATCAGAAATGCTGTCCTTTCAGGTCCCTCTGTGGAATCCTCCAGCTCCGGGTCACTAGCATCTCTTTCTGGACTGTTCGACGGCATTGTCTTGAGACGCTCATACAGACGCAAAGTCAGCTCACAGACGAAGTTCGTGATGGAGGAGCTCATTGGTCTGTGCTACGACGTTGCCAGGGAGCATCAACTCGATGTCACCCGTATCGACGAGGTTAACATCAGGGACAACGTCTGGGGACGCGCCGGGATTATTGTTGAGGGCATTCTCAGCAACCCTGATGTCGATCCGCTCCGAACGACCTGGTCAGCGATGCCAGAGACGACCTTAAAGGCACGGGAAGACTTGGAGAGCACATGCCAAGGATTTGCACCCTTGGCTGCGTGCGTGAACAGTTGGGCTGCAAACAAGATCCTGCAGCTTCGTTGGGACCGGGCAATAACTTACAAAAGACGTGTTGCTCAGGGCGGCGTCTCCAAAAAGAATAGTAAGTACATACTAGGAGTATTAGCATTTCCGGTATATTTACCTATATATAATGCTTGCCTTTGGACATTTATAGTTTTGACACGCCATAACTCATCAACATCATCGAGCGCTGCACAAGAGGAAACATCTGTTTCTTCAGAAGAAAGGTATATATACTCTACCATTGCTAATGTATTTGGCATACTTCATAGCAAGTACATACTCACACATTGGTTGTATTCAAGCAGTGCTCGTCAGCACCGCGAGGTCGCAGCATTGCCGTCAACACCAACTACAGACGTCGTTCCACGGCTCATGGTGTCAGAGTCGGAAGATGAAGAAACGGCACAACTGCCAAGTTTGTTGCTGTCTCTACACCAAGGTAAACAATAGATCAACGATCCATATTGCATAGCATGAAACGAGCATCCACGATATGCTAACACGATTGAAACAGAGACCACATCGCGCAAACGCGCCCGTTCGTGTGATGGCTCTGCTGATGACGTATCTGAGAGCACCAGTGGTCCTCGTGGCCCCCGTGCTCGTGGTGGTGGTCCCCGTGCTCGCGGTCGTGGTGGTCGTGGTCGTGGTGGTCGTGCTCGCGGTCGTGGTCGTGGTGGCAACTAATCATAGCAGAATGCCAACCACACTTTTGACCTACGAATAAAATACAGTCATCTCCTATCAAATAATTTTTTCGTATATCAGTGGTCGCAATTAATTAAAAATGAACACTTATTTTGCGTGTATACTGCACAATGCAAATATGATTTGTCAAAGTTTTATAATAGAAAGCAAAATTTAATAATAAGCATATTTTTATCATCCAATCATGATCAGTTTTTTGCATATATAATATGAAAGAAGGCCAATGGAGAAATGTGAATAGCTGATGAAGTATCCAATGATGCTCCCAAACGGATACAGCTATACGTACAACGACCAATAAGACACGATGTATGTACCCAATCATAAACACAGTTGAACGCATTTCACGCTTCAACCGACCAATAAGACGAATCAGAGAAACCACGCATATTAAGGTATATTAAGGTTTTTTCAGGTTTTTTCAGGTTTAAAAAAAACCTGAATATACCTTAATTTGCCCGTTTCAGGTTTTTTCAGGTTTTAGGTTTTTTCAGGTTTATTAAGGTATATTAAGGTTTTTTCTTTCCTATAGTGATATAGTTGTTTCAATTTTGTAATCCTTAATGAAATTTGTAATCACCAAATATTTTTGTAATCTTTATAAATATAAAAATTTCATAAACTGGCGGAATGGTAATGAGCATACCCTCTTCTAAGCTAGACCAACTAGATCGATGCTTAGCTTGACAGAATAGAATTATATACAATTTTGTTATTTATAACAAATATTAATAATATGATTCATTCTCCTACATTTCCAAACATAATTCTGTGAGATAACATGTTCTTTCACTATTTAAATCATGCTCTTATACAATTCAGCTTACAGCAAGTGTTTTAAAGAAGCAGATAAATGGCAGGAGAGTAATATCCTTTTCAGAAAATCCAATAGCAACATCGACTCTCTGCTCTTTGTTCATCACATAGATACTAGGCGCCTGTGTTGACATGGACCAATGTCTGATGGAATGGCCTGCGTAAAGAAAAATTCAATTGCTCACACATTGTACCATACATAATTAAACGTGATATATCCTGACTCACTTACCATGAGCATGAAGAAAATGGATCTTGACATATGAGAAAGTCTTGAACGAAGCTTTATCATATAACTGCGCCAGGGTTCGCATCATTGGCAGCATTCCAAACATAGCTTTATAATGGTCAAAGCTTATTTCACTAGCATCATTGGAGCCATAGCCAGAGGAAACTTCAGTCAAAAGAATTTCAGACGAAGACAGATCATTAGCTCTGAGTGTTCCATCAGCATTGTACTTATAACGGCGGTCATTCATTCCTTTCTGCTTGAGTTGGATGGTCATGGCATCGAGTTCAATTTCTCCAGGAAAAAAAGTAACTTTGTGGTTGTTGTTGTGCAAACATTTGGTAGTGGCCTTCATACAGTTGTCAAACAAGTATGATCGATAGCATGATTCAGACTTTTGAAGCACGTCGGTACCACAATTGTCATATATATAGTAATTACTAAACAAGCAATGTCAATTGAGTATATATTCAAGTCTTTTACTTACAACGTGCCACAAATATCGACAATCAGCTTTTTCTCTGCAGCAAGGGAGAGTAAATGGAATCTTTCAGATTCTCATTTTACTCTTAATAACTAACTACCGTTAGTTTAGGTTTGCTTCGCAAAGACCAGCTAGTGCTTCGAAAAATCAAAGATTTTTCTTACACTACCACCCCCAATATAAGAAAGGGAGCAACTGATTCGGTTGCTTACAACCGAGATAATTAATATTTTAATTTCATTAAAATATTATATTATCAAACATTTAAAAAACAATAATTCTTATTGATTTTTAATGTTTTCAGTTAGCACCCTTCCTTAACCCCCTAAAAAAAGATAAATCTTTTTTGCACCCCTATCTTAATGGCTCATTTCATTCGCCACCATATATAAAGTTACCCTTCGGGTTAAAAGCCTCCAGTGGGGGGCTAACTTTATATATTTTTCTAATATAATAATAATAATTTTAAGTTTCACTTAAATTATTTTATTATAAGAAAAAAGGAACTTAAGTTCCTTAAAGAAACAAGAACTTTGAAAAAAAAAAAAATTTTTTTCTTGTTCTATAAGAATGATGGAGGCACACCTCCATCTATTCTTAGAAGGAGAGTAAATGGAATCTTTCAGATTCTCATTTTACTCTTAATAACTAACTACCATTAGTTTAGGTTTGCTTCGCAAAGACCAGCTAGTGCTTCGAAAAATCAAAGATTTTTCTTACACTACCACCCCTAACATAAGAAAGGGAGCAACTGATTCGGTTGCTTACAACCGAGATAATTAATATTTTAATTTCATTAAAATATTATATTATCAAACATTTAAAAAACAATAATTCTTATTGATTTTTAATGTTTTCAGTTAGCACCCAAGGATTGGATCGTCTAGCACAACGTGGTTCAATTGCTCAACACAGCTTTGCATTTCAATGTTGGATTCCTATGATACTAGTGGTGTTAGTTTTTCGATTTCCTAATTACATTGCAAAAACGGCATACTGCATCAAATATGGTTATGCACATCTCGGCAAGGCATGGGCTTATATCCTGTATCGTGACTGACGACACTTCCTGGTTTAGCTTGGTATATAGGCCAGGAGGTAAACAGGCTCTACGTCGCACTAGCTTCCCACACCAGATCACATTATGCATTTCAGGACTAACATAATAAGTGTAAGCATGGGTAATTGTTATATTTCAATATTTTGTTTTTACCTCAGTTGCATGAAATATTCTGGTTACAAGCTTTCTTTAGTAAGTTACACAAATTATATAAAGTTATATAAATATTTTTTTTTGATTTTTCATAAAACACTTTTTTTCTTTTTTCTTTATCAAAATGTTTAAATCAAATGAAACACTATTTCGAACACTTTACGACGATGAACAAGCTATAATCTATTCACAAAAGCAAGGACTTATAAAACCTTTTATTTGTAAAAAATGTGAAAACCCATTATCCATTGGAAAATATTATCAAAGATATCGATTTTATTATTATCCAGATAATATTAGAAAAGGTGTATTTGCCGAAACATTATTTGAAAAAACAAATCTACGACCAATACAAATAGCAGAACTATTACGTCAATGGATGATTGGTGTGTATCTTTTATTATATAACATATCATATTGGATCAATTTGTTTTTTGTATAGATCCTTCTCCTATAAAAGTGTCTCTACAAATAGGAATTGATGATGAAACAGTTACACGATTATTTCAAAAATACGCTTTACGATAAAAACATGGATCCTTAACAATCAAGAGTTATGGAAAAATGTAATTGGTGGACAAGATGAAATTGTTGAAATCGGCAAATGCTGTTTTGGCAAAACAAAAATTACTACTGCAAAGCATAAACAATACAGAAAACATATGTGGATATTAGGCGGTTATCAAAAAAAATCTGTTCTTTTTGGTGCCTGTTCAAAATCGAAAAATGTCAACATTGTTACCAATAATCAAGGATCAAGTTTATCAAGGAACAACTCTAATCACTGATGGTTTACGATCTTATACAAGCTTAAATAAGATGGGATACATTCATAAAGCAGTTGATCATTCAAAATATTTTGTGGATCCAAAAGATTCAACAATACATACTAAGAGCATCTCCAACGGTCGTTCTAAGTTCCATTTTAGGATTCCGAAATAGAAAATATCGAGTTCCAACGGTCGTCCTATTTCTACTCTATTCTAGAAAAGGGTCAAACTTTTTAGAATAGGCGTCCCAAAATTAGGGCATGTTTTCTAAAATAAAATCGTGTTGTTGTACACAGTAAAATAAAGCTCTCTCTTCTTTATAAATCACTTCCTTTTCCAACAACAATGGGGACCGGCCATGGTTATGATGATTTTAATGCGGTCTAGTAACCCTAGATGACTAATTAGCTAAGATATGTCAGGATAGCCAAACTAATTTTTATTGAAATAATTCATGCACGAATGTCTTGGCATGCATACATTTACAGTTGACCCCCACTTTTTGCACCTCCGCTTTTTGCAGATCCTCAGTTTTTGCAGCTTTTTTTAGAGGAATCCCGCTCATCACTTAGTAAAATTGCAGTTTCCTCACTTTTTGCATTTTGCAGCCCAAAACCAGGACCTGCAATTTCCCGCTAGTGGTTTTCATTCTCCCCAGAGAGCGGCGACACTGAGAATCGAACCACTGATACTTCCTAGTTTTAAATATAAAGCTTTATATTTATTACATAAAGGTTTAATTACTGAAAATAATTGGTGATTCTAGATTGTTTGTTCTGGCTTTTCTTGCGGAAATCATCCCGGACTTTTCTGAGCTCATTCCAAATGTTTTGATGTTCCGCGGCATCTAAAATAGCAATTGTTTTTTCTAGTATTCTTGTTTTTTCTTGCAAACTATATACTGGTGTAACAGGTTCAGATGAAACAACAGTCATGCTAGTATCTTCATTGCCATTGTCAACAACATCATCAGCTACTTTTTCATTATGAATAGCACTAACAATTTCTTCATCGGAAAGCAGTGGATGAACAGCTACAATTTCCTCAGGTGGATCTGCATCAAAAGTGAAATTTGCAAGGTTGTTGGCACCATAAATAAGACTGAGATGATCATCAATCTGGCCAAGTGCAACTTCGTCTGCATTGTCTGACCCACTATCAGTGCTGCTAGTCATGACTGCATCTATTACCCTCGTTTTTATGTAGCAGTTTACAATTGTCAGCACTGGAACACTTTGCCATGCCTCATGACACCATTGTATTGCTGTCAAAACATTAATACGAAACGTATTTCCGTCATTAACAGGCAGGCCTTTTTCCAAGCGCTCCTGAATTCTGCTATATGCATGCTCATATTGCAAATTCCTAATACAATAGAGAAAATAGTTACTTTCAAATTTCCATATACATATAAAATAAGCCTATCTAATAATTATAACAACAACGTACTTGAAATGCACCTTGAGACTGCGGATAATACCAGCATCTAAAGGCTGCATGAGCGATGTTGTATTTGGCGGCAAATATACTAGCTCAACATTCTTTGGCTCGTAATCGCAAAAATGGCCCGAAAAGTTGTCTAAGAGCAATGCAATTTTTCTTTGCTGATACACCATCGATTTATCCAGCATAGTAAGGTACTTCTTAAAGATATCGCGCGTCATCCAGGCATTGGCATTTGCATGGTACTTCGAGATGTCAACCTTTCTCTGCTGTGCCTGTTGTTATATAGAAAATATAATAAGCAGTTGATCATCATCTTTTACTTTATCGTATAGCATACTTTGCTGAAACAGGTTGGGCGCTGTGCCTTGCCAATGAACCAGGGGTGCCACTTATCAGATCCATCAGCATTCGTCGTCAATACAAGAGTCAACCGTGACTTGTCCTGCTTGACCCCTTTAAACGGTCCAGGTGCAATTGTAGACACAGGAGCACTGGAGTAGAAGACAGCTGTCTCGTCCATGTTGTAAATGTCCTTTAACGCATATTTTTCTAGCATCCATTGGATTTCAGGCAACTTGACTTCTGCGAGTGTGACATCAGCAGAGCTAGCTTCACCACTTATTTTTTAGACCTTGAGGTTATATCGTTTTTGGAAGCGGTTTTGCCAGCCATTGGAGAATGTGAAGTCCTCAGTAGAGATTTGCAGCTTAGTTGCAAAGTTTTCACCAGCTTTCTTGATAATATCCCAATTGATTGGGATCTTCTCATGGAATCTTTGTTCTATCCATGTATATAAAGCGTATTCTAGTTCCTATTGTATTATTTTTGCTTTCTTATTAGTAAAGTGAGTAGCAAGCAGTACTCAATAAGCTTAAACATACGGGAAACTTTGCTCGAGCTTTTTGTCTTTTATTTCTCTCGATGCCGTTTCTTCTTCATGTTTTCTCTTAGCAATCATTCGTGAAATTGTTGTTGTATTCGGAACACTCTCAAGGTTGTATGTTGTTTTTATCCAGTCGAGTAAATCCTTGTATGTAAACTTGCGCAGCGCTTTCTCTTTGGCGATGTAGTACTGATACGCTGCTTCACTTATTTCGTCAGTAAGCCTTTCATATTTTCCTTTCGACATGATGTGTAGTTTGAGTAGTGTGTATAAGACAATTGCAAAAATTCAAGTCTTTTTATATAGACTTTGCAATGTGAAAGTAACCTCAACAAAGTACCGATATTCTTTAATTGGTTCATATAATTGACACTTAGTAAGCTAAGCTATACTCAGCCTGTGTAACACCCTTATACCCATCCTCACTTTTTGCAGTTCCCCTCTTTTTGCAGTTTTTTTCATGAAAAACCGCTACTGCAAA